ATGAGAAGAGTGTCACATGGGATTCTGTCAAAAGCCTTCAGAAAATCAAGACCTATCACAACTACCACCCCTCCCTCCCATTAGGCCAGTAAGTATGTCAAGAAGAAAATCAACTAGGTATGGCAAAATTCATACATTAGCTATGGCTTATCCCCCAGCTGCTTTTACACTGTTTGGTAGTTTATTTCAATGTCTTATGAGTTATTGAAGTGGCACTGTTTGTTCTAGAAACAACTTTTTAAAACAATGAGTAGTCCCATGGCGCCTTAGAGTCTAATATACGTATATTATCATGAGCTTTCATGAGCAAAACCTACTTCCTCACATGAGAAGATTTTTGCCACTTCCTCTTTGTTCCCGATTTTCAAAGTGAGGGATTATGTTTGCCCTTCTCTCGTGCTCTGGGACCTCACCCGTCCTCTGTGAGTTCTCTATGAAAGCATTAATAGTTCTGAGATTGGCTCTGCTACTTCCTTAGGTTCTGTTGGGTGAATTTCATCAGGCACTGCGCATTTGAATCATCAATCTTGTTTTGTCTCCTTGGCTTCTGCTCTTGTCTTTAGCTGCGGGACCATCATTGACACCAGACCCGGATCCCTCAGCACCATCTGCTGTAGAGGGTTGGAGGGTCGCTACGTCACCATCGTCATCCCGGACAGGATGGGGACTCTCATGCTGTGTGAGGTCGAGGTTCTATCTCAGAGCTGCATCCCACCACCAGCGGGTAAAGAGCTGATACAATGTGACAGGGAACCTCTTCCCTTTTATGTTATACCCCAGGCTCCTCAATGCCAGAATCTGCCTAGTGAGACAGCAGAAACCCTGTGAGCATCGCCCCTTCCCAGTGCTGAACTGGGCATGGGCTACAGCTGGCAGGGGCAGGTAAGGAACGCTCCATGTAAACATTGAGCTCCCTGCCTGCCTTGGCCAGCAGCTCCAGCTGGATGTGAGATACGGTGGCCTGAGAGAGGCTCTCTAGACTGAGACTCCAGCACCAAGCTGCTGTCGCTCCCGTTCCTCGAGTCACTGGCTCCCACGGTGACCTGGCCCTCACACAGTCCCTGGTTCGTGTGTCACCACCAGGAAGCAGCTCTGGCTCTGCTGCAGAAAGGTTTTGTGGAGCCCCACCCTTTCTGGCAACGGGCACGTCCCACCTCCCCTCTTCTCGCCTTCTGATTCCAGCTCGGAACTTGGCGCTGCGACGTCCGGCCGCTCAGTCGTCCAGGTTTTTGGGGACTAAACTAGACGTGGTTGGAAATGTTGTGGATGGAAATCGTGATGGGGATTTTAATCACGGCTCCTGCAGCCACACCCTGTACGACACAGAGCCCTGGTGGAGGGTGGACTTGGGCCGGGGAGCGTGGACTTGGGCAGGAGGTATTCCGTCTCCATGGTGATCGTGAAGAACAGGGAAGACAAGTGCTGCGGGGAGAGGCTGCAGGGGGCCGAGATCCGCGTGGGAGACTCCCTGGTGAACCACGGCAAGGACAACCCCCTGTGAGTTGCTTCCCCCTTGTCTGCAGTGAGATGGGTCCTTCCAGCTCAGCACTGGGCTTGGGTCTCATTTGCTGGGGGGAGCCTCAGCCTGGTGCCTTCCGCTCTGAGCAGCCGGATGCTGGGAGTGTTTCCCAGTGATGCAAGGGCATAGCCGTGGCTGGAGTGCGGCCCATTCACTTACCATCCAGCCCCATCCAAATCTGAGCTGTAGGGCTATGTTCCCCCCTGCAGATACACAGAAATGCGGGGCAGGAATTCACCCCCAGGGGCCATCCCTTCCTTCCCCCCATGCCGAGGCAGGACCAAGTCACCCTAGACCAGAGCACAAACCACGGCAGCTGCTCTCCAGAGCCGCATGGCGTTACTGTGTGATCGGGAGCACCTGCCACTGTCTGGGGAGGGATTTCTGCGGGGAGCAGCTCCCCCTTAGGGGCTTGGCACTCGTAGCTCCCCCCTTTGGAGCCTTTTCCCTCCTGGACCCCTCTCCTGGGTTGAATTTCCTGGGGCGCTCCCTGAGCAGCTGCCCTGAGCCCTGCCGTGCTAGGAGCTTCCTCTGTGATCTGTGCGTCCGACTGAGCCCCACAGCCCTGCCCTAATGCTAGGAGCCACGTAGATAAATGGCCACCACCCAACCTTAGGGCGCCATTGAGTGGGCCTTGCGGGGGCTGCAGTTCCTCATATGTGGCCAATGTGTGAATTCAGCGCAAGGTGCTCCAGGCCTCAGGGTCTGGGTGTGAGCTTTGAAGACCAGAATAGCTGGACTGAAGGAGCTATGGGAGGCAGAGAGGCACATAGATGAGACTTTCCAAGAGCAGTCCCGCTTCTGGACAGGCAGCCTGTGTGCTGCTGAAGAAGCTGAAAGTCTCAAGGAAGGAGCAGAGGGAAATGAAACCATAGCTGGGACCTCCATTCCTGATGATGGTATTTGTAATGGGAGATTCGACATTAGAAACATAGAGAGCTGGGTGCATGACGACCAGGAGAAGTGCCTGGTGACGTTGCTTGCCTGGCATGAAGGTTGCAGATCTCTTGAGACATAAGAACGGTTGTACTGGGTCAGACCAAAGGTCCATCTAGCCCAGTATCCTGTCTGCCGACAATGGCCAGCACCAGGTACCCCAGAGGGGGTGGACCGAAGACAATGATCAAGCGATTTGTTTCCTGCCATCTCTCTCCAGCCTCTGACAAACAGAGGCTAAGGACACCATTTTATCTCCTGGCTAATAGCCTTTTATGGACCTAACCTCCAGGAAATTATCTAGCTTCTCTTTAAACTCTATTATAGTCCTAGCCTTCACAGCCTTCCGTGGCAAGGAGTTCCACAGGTTGACAACACGCTGTGTGAAGAAGAACTTCCTTTTATTAGTTTTAAACCTGCTACCCATTAATTTCATTTGGTATCCTCTAGTTCTTCTATTTAGGGAACTACAAATAACTGGAAGTTTTCAGAGAACTGTCCACGATAACTCCAAGATCTCTTTCCTGATTTGTCGTAGCCAAATTAGCCCCCATCATGCTGTACGTATAGTTGGGGTTATTTTCTCCAACGTGCTTTATTTTACACTTATCCACATTAGTAGGGCTCGCCAAACCGCAGTGAGCCCCACTCGCCAGCCGCGCTGTCCAGAGATCTGCGCACGCGCACATCACCCGAACCCGGCTCTTCCGGGTTACAATCTACTCGCCACAGGTGAGTAGATTGTATTATTTGTCGAGCCCTGCACATTAGACATCTAGATATATATATTTATAGTGCTAGGGAGAAGCCAGTGGTTGTGGTATACGTAGGTATCAATGACATATGGATGGATAGCTGTGTGTTCATTATGCTAATGAAGCATGGGATATTTAAATTCCATCTTCATTAGCAATTTCGGTCGCCTACATTTGCATCCCTATTTTGAAATAGAGTCCCCCTATGAGCAATAACAGCATTTCACGATCTTGTTGATCAATATTCGCACACCCGGTCACAAAAAGATTCCTTAAACATCTTCAGAACCTGTACCCACCTCCTACGGTTCTACCCATGGGACTTGAACCTTGTTTCAGTCTCCTTGACCAGACTTCCCTTTGAACCTATGGCCATTGTTTCACTCCTCTTCCTTTTTATGAAGGTCTCCTTCTAAGTTCTCTTGGGATAAGAGGGAAAGTCCTCCCATGGATTGGTAATTGGTTCAAAGACATGAAAGAAAGGTGGGAATAAATGGTCGGATTTCAGAATGGGGAGAGGTAACTAGTGGTGTCCCCCAGGGGTCTGTCCTGGGACCCATCCTATTCAACTTATTTATAAATGATCTAGAGAATGGGGTAAACAGTGAGGTGGCAAAATTTGCAGATGATACCAAACTGCTCCAGGTAGTTAAATCAAAGGACATGATAAAGAGCTTCAAAAGGATTTCACAAAATGAGGTGACCTGGTAACAAATTAGCAAATAAATTCAGTGTTGATAATTGCAAAGTAATGCACATTAGAAAACATCATCTCAGCTATATGTATACAATGATGGTGTCTAACTTAGCTAACTCCATTAAAAAAAGTACAGAGAAGGGCAACAGAAATGAGGAGGATTACTGAACGCACGCCATCTGAAAAGAGATCAAACACATTGGGACTTTTTAGTTTGCTAGAGATCACTAAGAAGGAGCTATAATGGAGGTCTATAAAATCACAAGTGATGTGGAAAAACTGAATAAGGAAATGTTATTTACTCCTTCAGATAAAATAAGGACTAGGAAAATTTAAACAACAATGGTCCTGTGGCACCTTTAGAGACTAACCAAAAGTATCATGAGCTTTCATGGGCACAACCCACTTCTTCAGATGACAAATATGGAGCACGATAGCTACCTTCCGGAAACCACCGACTTCCTGAGGAAACTCTAGAGTATCAGTGATCTTCCTGAAAACACCAGCCTGGCCACCATGGAGGCAGAAGCTCTTTATACCAACGTTCCTCATGATGACAATTACTGTCCATCAGAAACATCATCCCCGATGATGCCACAGCACACCTGGTGACTAAGCTTTGTGATTTTGTTCTTACTCACAACTATTTCCAGTTTGGGGACAATTTGTATCTTCAAGTCAGTGGTGCATCCATGGGCATCAACATGGCCCCACAATATGCCAACGTCTTTCTGGCTGACCTCAAACAACGTTTCCTCAACTCTCACCCCCTAGCATCCTTATTCTACTTACGCTACATTGACGACATTGTCATCACACAGACCAACAGAAAGGAGACCCTGGAAGAGTTCCACAGGCATTTCAACAACTTCCACCTCACCATCAACCTCAGCCTGGACCAGTCCACACACGAGATCCACTACAGTACAGCTATACGACGGCCACATTTGCACCGGAAACCTACTGACCATCATACTTACCTACATGCCTCTAGCTTCCATCCTGAGCACATTACCCGAACAATTGTTTATAGCCAGACCCTAAGATACAACCAGATTTGCTCCAATCCCACAGACAGAGATAGAAGGCCTCCGTCGGTCAGTTGACCATGGATGACGTATCCTAGTTCTCGTCTTGGTTCGTGTTGAATTGTCTGGGACAGCGTCGGGGACAGCGTCGTTGGTGGCTGAAAAGGCCAATCCGGGACAGGCATTCTTTGCCGCAGAAGTCGCAGCTATAGGTGGTTCCCTGGCTGTTTTTGTTGCGTAACTTCCTGCGGGCTCGCTTTTCTTCTGATGCACGCATCATGTTCGTTTCGCCTGACTTGAGCTGTGTGGTCAGGGTGCCCCTCCACTTTGGGCGGTCTGCTGCGAGGTCTTCCCAGGACTGCGTGTTTATGTCGATGGCTTTCATGTCCCTCTTCACGACATCTTTAAATCGCAGGTTCGGGCGCCCTGTGGTTCTCTTCCCAGATGCCAGTTCCCCGTAGAGGATGTCCTTTGGGATCCTCCCATCCTCCATGCGGCGTACATGGCCAAGCCAACGCAGGCGACGTTGTCGGAGCATGGTGTACATGCTGGGGAGGCCGGCTCGAGTCAGAACTTCGAAGTTGGAGACTTTGTCTTGCCAGGTAATACCCAGGATGCGGCGCAGACCTCGTAGATGGAAGGCGTTCAGTCTCCGCTCTTGTCTCGCGTATGTGGTCCATGTCTCGCTCCCGTACAGCAGGGTGCTGATGACGCAGGCGTTGTACACTGCCATCTTTGTTGCGGTTGTCAGCCTGGGGTTGGTCCACACTCGGGTTGTCAGGCGGGCTA